AAGTCAGTTTTACTTTTCTAGCTGACATTTCGCGTTAACCGGCTTTACTTTTACTTGCATTAGCAGGAAAAACAGTAATTTAATATAAATTTATTGTTATATTAAATATTTAGATATTTAATTTTAGTTTAACTCAACATATTTTTCATATACTATAAATTTGTAATTATCATATATGATAAGATTGAATCCTAAATTATAAAACAACAATTTGTTTGCTGCCAACAAAGAAAGGAGAAAAGCTGCATGTCAAATTATGCGACTCTAGCTCGTATAACAATTTTTAATATTTTTTCTGCTTGAGTTTTTGAAGAGTTTTAAGGATTGGTTGAGCTTAAAAAATGTACTTTTAGTTTTTGGGTGATTGAGTGTTTGATTATTGCATAATATGACATCTTAGAGATATGCCCAAGTACTCACTTACATATGAAGTGTAAATTGAGTCTGACACATTTTAGCCAACATTCAAGGCTTGTTGACTATTGTGTGAGTGTGTGGATCAAGTGTGTGTGTGTGTGTGTGTGTGTGTGGCACAGATTGCAACAGCAATTGCATAAGGAGCATGGCTTATGGCTGTGATAGGGCCGGGGTTATGGGCCACAGTGACGGCCATAAAAACAAAGACAGGTTCTCAGTCGGAGACGTCAGAACTCACGCTTGTTGTTGTGCTGCATTATGCTGTATTCAAGCTCGAAATGCGGTCGTGTGGGGCAGGCAGAGGAGCCCATTTATAGGGTCTGTGGGCATAAATTTCGTTAACTGTTGCAGCTGCTGTTGTTGTTGTCGTTGTCTGTTGTTGTTGCTGCTGCTGCTGCTTCTTGGGCAATCGTCAACGTCTTCGACGTTGTTGTCTTCATTTGCCGTAGTTGTAAACGCCGCTTGGCGCATTTAATTGTACCAAATACTCGTAACGTTGCATGTTGCTGGCCCCGGAGCTGCTTTTGGCCCTGCTCTCAGCCCCAAACAACGTTGACAAATGTGCGTTTTAGCCGTCTCATTGTTGTGGCAAACTGACTTCAATATGCAAATCTATTGAAATTAGTTGCCAAGTTGCCAAGCAGAGCCAACTCGTTGATCGGCCGTGTTGTTAGCCTGATACGAATCGTGTCTTGTGTTTTTTATACACCCTTTTAAGAGGCATTACGATTCTGTCATGGAACATGTCACGCACTGGAGTAAACATATTTCTACTCTTTTAAGTGTATAACTGATCACGAGTCTATATAGTCACGCGTAAATTATCTATTAGTTGCTTATAAAATTTTGCATGTGTTCCCCTTTCTATTGCAGACAATAATCGGCCTAATCGGACGGCTATGGCTACTATGGGAATGATTGCTGTTATTTTTTGTTTCTCAATTTTGATCAAACAAGAGTATTTAGTCATCGGCATTCCCAAGATGGGCCTTCTTTCTTGTTGTAGCTGCTGTTGTTGTTCTTGTTGTTGTTATTGTCGTGCAATTTGCATGATTTGCCAAAGTTGTTGTTGTTGTGGCGCCATTTGTTTATTATCTGCGCACTGTCCCTCTGGCTTGCGACTGATCTTGGGCTTCAATGCTAAGATCCGAATAAAATTCCACAGTTAATTGAATTAAAGGCGGCGACAGGCCCAGGCCCAAGCCGCGTCCCAGTAACAGGCCCAAAACCAGGCTAAAAGGCAGCCACCACATATCGCGTAATTGGCAGCAACAGTTGCAGCGCGCCTAATGGCCAAGTTTTTAAGTGGAATTCTGTTGAGCTGCAGTGTGTGCGCGATAAGCCTGCACGCACCTTCTGCCACACCGGGGCACAGTTGGGCTACCTACGACATGCCTACCTACCGCACATCGTTAGACCTGGTCTAGACAGAGGTCTGCGTGCCCGGCGTGAACCCTTTTCTGTTCTCTGTGCTTGTTGCTGTTGTTTTAGAACGCACTCGGGCAATTTGTTGCGCCCCCTTGAGCTGTTCAAAAGGGACAGGCCGCAAGTCGCTTACCTTAATTGCCAGATTGACGCCAGCTTGACGCCAGCTCGACGGCATTAGAATTCCTCCCACCCCGGCTCAGTTGCAAACTGTAACCGAAACCCCATAATCAGTGGCCAACCCGCCACGGCCCGATGTCTCCGCTGGCCCTTGCAATTAATTGGCACGACTCTCGCGACGCGTCGTCATGCAATTGGCCGCTGGGCGGTCAATTAAATCAAAGCGTTTATAGTAACTTGTCTTAAATTAAAAAGCCTCGCTAATTTTTATCCAGTTGCCAGCTTTATATCTATTTATAAACCGGCTCATGCCATGACAAGTGCTCTCAAGCGCACATCAACCTCAGTTTCAAATATTTTTCATATTTTTTTACATCTTTTTTTTTTTTTTTTTGGGGGGGCCACACGATAAGCACTAAGCACAAGGTTCTCGTTGAGGTTCTGGTTAAGATACGAGACAAAACTATCGCTATTTTGTTGGGTTTCGCCACTTCAGCTGCCAGCTCGTGTGTGCTGAAGTTCCCAAGTACAAAGAGCACCACAAAAAAAAAACCAAAAAACAAAAAAATTCGTAGTCTTGAAAGTATTTTTTTAAGATTGGCTTGACTCTTGATGTCTAGAGTTCGTCTTGTTACAATAATTTGTTTACTTAACAATGGCGTTCTAATTCGGTTGATACGCAGTACTTTGAAATTATTAAAGAATTTATCAATTACTTAACCACTTTGGTTTCTATAAGTTGGAGGACAAGTTATTTATATGGTAAAAGTCTCTATTTGATCCAGTGTTGAGGACTTGCACAATTGTTGCTTGTAATATGCTTTATAAATTTGGATACGGGATCTGCTGTTTGAAATGTAAACGTAATTCTTTTTGAACTCAGAGCTATATTAAATTTTCTTTAGATATCTATAAACATTATTTGTTTAGCCAAACATAGGACAGCAATATTAAAGTTTACCTAGTATTTATCCTTTTAAATGATACAAAAGTGTAGCTCCAAAGGTTAGACAAATACACATAACTTGTAGACTCATAGGATATATATATATATATATAGTTCTTTGTTTTCTGGTATGATCAAACTGCATTTCAAATATTATTAAAAGTACATGCGATGATATGTTTTAAATAAATAAAGTATATTGATGGCAGCCAAAAAGATCCATATGTCTTAACGAAAGCCAAATTTTAATTGTAGGCTTTAAAGTAAATAGAAAATTTTTGATATAATAAAAGCTAGACAGATTAAATGCGACCTTAACCAGAGCATCGAATGCTTTGTCCTGCTTAAATATACCCCATGGTACGTTCAAAATGGGGCACAGTATACAAAGAGTTCTATAAAAATAGCTGCATAGCATGTATATAGTTCTATATATATATATATATGCACATATAGAAATACATGTGCATTGTCCTTGTCAACAGCAATGCAGTGACAAATTGCAGCTAATCAGCAATGGGAACAACAGCAACAGACACCCGAACAACGTTGTTTCCAGCAGCTCAAATGAGGTTTCGTTCCGTTCCGTTGTGTGTTCTGCGAGGTGCGTTGTCGTCGCTGTGAATCTTATCAATTGCAGAAATTAACATATACAAACACATATGCATATATATATATATATATATAAATGTGTCTATATGTTCTTTCTATAGCATATAGAATCTTATCAGTTTGTGTGACAATTTTTTAATTGGGTGTCTGTTATAACATTGTTAGGTCAAGCACCGCTTTTGGCATGACAATCTTCCAGTTCGGTGCATGACAATGCAGCTGGCAGTAGGGTCCGTCATGATAGATCACACAGAGAGAGAGCGAAAGAGAGAGAGAGAGAGATTGAGAGTATATCTATATGAAGGCATACGAGTAGGATGTAGACAACAACAGAAGACTGATTCATCGATGGGCTTTTCATTGCGATAGTTAAGCGCTAGTTTATAATAGCAGAGCCTAAGAAAGAGCAACTTTGTTTAAATAGGTTGAAATGTATAGTTTATTGGGTGATTTGTGACTGATTCATCGTTTATTGAGATCGAGTTCAAGTTCTATTTTAGCATCCGCTTTCGTGTTAAGAGCGGCAAATGTTGGCGCCACTTTGAAGCGAAATAATCAATAAACTTGGCCAAAATTTGACGTGGATTTTTTGTTTGTTTTTGTTTTTGATTTGCTGCTGCTCAAGTCAAATAAAAATAATAAAAATTATGCGGAGAGCAACAAAAATGAAATTAATTATAAGTCAAACAAGCATTACAATATTGCCTGGCGCCAGACGCAAAAATCATTAACATTTTTATGACCCGGCGTACAACAAAGAACACCACACATATCTGTCAGCTGGCGTTACCTGTACCACACACACACACACACACACTCGTACACACACACACACTTACAGAGTCGGACACGCACACTTGATCATAAATCGCAACTAATAATGTCCGAGTTGTCTAACACCTATGAGCCGCCATAAAGACAAATTGAAAGAGAGAGATATTCGACAAATAGCCAATGGCCAATGGAGTTTACCTTTCGGGCGTACGTGCAAAATCGATGGATGTTGACCAGGCCAAAGATGATTCGCAGAATTTTGTGTAGTAAGTGAAATGTGTGCCCCTGGCCTGGGCTGGCCTGGCCTGGTCTGGCCTCATCTTGATAGGCATCATAAAATTCGAAAACCGAAAACCTCGAAAAACCAACAACAAATCAGTTAGCAGCAAATGGTTTCTGTTTAGACCTTAGGCGGCAAGTGCAAATCATTTGGCCGGATCAGAACCGTCTCACTGACTGACTGACGACCAGCTTGCATTAATTTATCCCGAGCAAATTTATCTCACAATTTTTGAAAACCAAAACAACAGCAACAACCACAATAACAAAGTCCACAAGTTGTATGAAACACCTGCACGGGCAACAAATTCTAAACAAAACCAAACCAAAAAAAAAAAAATGTTTCTATTTTCAGTTCTATCTTGGCGCCTTCTCTGTATATTTTTAAACTGACCGGCTTGATCTTTTTTTAACACTATATTTTCAGCAATATTTCAAGAGCAGCAGCAATCCCACAACAACAACAACAACAACGACAACAACTGCTACCAGGAATACAACAAAATTCGTTTTCTAGTAATAAAAACTGATGCATATTTCTGTGAACTTGCGCCAACAAATTGCGAAAATGTGTTGCAAATCTAACGCCATGTGGAAATGTTGTACGTCTTCGATTGGCCAGCAACAACTGCAACAACAACAACAACAACAATCCGTGACGATAACAACACGCAACACAGAATATCACGGCCAAGCAAAAAGGCACAGAATTAAAAACAAGAGCCAACAACATTTTCTAGGCAGAATTCAAATCCTCGTGTTTATTGTTATGTTAGTCCTGATTCAAATGGAATCTGTGGCAGCTGGACTTCGAGAAGGCCTTTCAGGTGAGTCGAAATGTACAGAATTTATGAAGAAAATCCTGCCTTGAGTGGGCAGACTACCTCAGTTGCTTGAGTTGGTAGATATATACCTGTGTAAATGGCTGCTCTTGGGGGTTTTTTATTCTTAAATAATTGTTTTTCTTGTATGTTAATTTTGAAAAATATTTAACTGACTTAACTGAGTCTGCTAAAAGCCGATAAGTAGATAGCCTAATTACTTGAGCTAGGGGTGCGTTTGTTTGCTACTTTTTGTTTGATAATATTATTAATAATGCACGCATACAAATAATACATATTCCCAAAACTACTTTTATCATTAGACATACGAATGATATAGGTATTATATAAACTAATTATATTATTATTAGGACTATAGACAGACAGCAACATTACAAATAAATCAGTGAGCTAGGTAAGGCTTTGCTTCGACAGCGATTACAATGTAATTACAAGCAGGATAAAGACTCCATACCTTGCTTGGAAATGCCTAAAATTCAAAGCCTATGCCCCAAATTGTATTCTAAGGGAATTAAATATGATACAAATTTGAAATATGACCGTGAAAAGCAGTAGAATTATTCTAATTAACTTCAAGTCTTAGTCAACTAGCCATCATTCGGAACAGACCAAAAACACAGACAATCTGTTCAAGAATTAGATCTTTAGTTTAGTGGCATTTAATGTAACTAGTTTTTAGTTTTCTTTGACAGATCAGAGCACATAGTTAATCTAGTTTTCAGTTTCAAGATCATTTCCATAGAATGGAAATCAATTAAGATTGTCAAGCGAGTCACCTGACGCTCCAGCAGAGTTCTGTTTTGACAGTTTCACCCTGCAACTTGTTAACCTTCACCTTTACACACCAGCCACAGCTGCTCTGTTACGGGCTGCTGTTGCCGTACGTACGTACAGTCGGGCGTATAGGCTGCCCGTTACCGCTTGCCGCTGCCCATGCCTTTGCCCCAGCTCACCTTAGCTGTTGGCCACACGTGCCGCTCTGGCGCTCCCAACACGTCGCGCTGGCGCTTAATCTGTGATTGTGATTAATCGGACGACGCCAGCGTCCGGCGTCGCCAGCTGTCCGGCTGTTCGGCTACTGAGCGTATTTGATCGCTGCCAGTTTTTAGTTTTATTTTCTATTTTTTATTTTTTCTAATTTTTGTCGTGTTCTTTAAACATATTGAGTGGGTTTTTTATGGCATTTCAGTGTGTGTTAAATGAAATAAAAAATCGCATAAATTAGATAAACGTATTGCAATTTCGATATCGGGTTACTTGAACAAGGTTCATTAACTGCCGCCCGCTCGATGGGCAGCCAAAAGAGAAGGGAACGCTCTGCCACCATGTATAGAAAGTTCCAATAGGAACTAAATAACTTTTCCACTTCATTGGAGCGCCAATGGATTTGTTTATGAATGAAGGTGGTCCCAAAAAGGGCACAGCAGGATACAAACGCATAACAGGAAAACGAATCGAACAACAAAAGCCACAACTAGCTACAACAATAAAAATCACTTTGTGTAGAAGCTAAATACCAAAGAGATACAAAACGTTGATAATGCCGAGTTGGGCCTAAAACCGAGCAGAGCCGCCCACAAAGGGGCCACTCGCAGCCACGAAGCTGCTGCATCTGCAATTGTATCTGTATCTTCGTATCTGTAACTTTTGAGTGTGTGTCTTTTATGTTCCTTATGCATCTGTGCGTGTGTAGCGCCGGCGTCTTCATTTATCAACGAACACACTGAGTCCATGTTGTATGTGTGTGTGTGTGTGTGTGTGTTTATCAGCACATTGCAGGTGGTCCCACAAAGCCAGCCCCGGGCATTGGTACGGGCCCTGCAAGTCAGCCTGGGGTCGCTGTGCCGACGTTTCCGTTTGCCTTGTTGCGTTTCATTTTTGTATCGTTTCGAATCGTTACTTTGTAATACCCTGTGCACAATAATTTGCTCAAAAAGGGTATGATGAGGAGGAACTTAGATCTCTGTCGGCTTACAGACATTTCAAAATTGGTATTTCAACTTTGTTAAAAGTGTTTACTATCAAGATAACATATCATTTGGAAGATCTAGGGTTAGGGCAAGATCTTTACTACTATTACTATCTCATTATGCATAAAATAGTGTAGGTTGATGATATATCATTATATCATATCCGTCTAAAAATGTTCAGCACAGGGTATTTCTGAGTCGAGTCGTTTTTCGAACAGCACTTTTGATTGTTCTTTTTGTGCTGTGCTGTGCTGTGCTGTGTTCTGGAACATGTTTAACATGCGGCGCTTGCTACTTTGACTTAGCGCCAGTGCCAGAAGAGAAAAAGGTAAACCAAACAAAGAATAACCCAAAATGCAAGCAGCCCAAGGAGTTGAGGGAGGAGAGAAGCAGTAGGTGAGGTAGAAGGAGGTGTGTTGCTATAAGATCATCATCTGGCAGGGCATGTTTGGTTGCACACACAGGTACACACAAGCACACTGAATGCTGATAAAGTGGCCTAATCTCTTTGACCTGTTTGGTTTTTGGTTGGAAGAGCGCTGCGGGTCACGTGCTGGATAACATCTCAGTCAGTGGGCAATTTCCGGCTATGCATGATTGTAAATTAAATATTTGGTTATTTGTTATTTGGTTTATTTGAAAAGCGTCAGTACTAAAATAACAGGAAATTGCAGTTGTCGAGAGACGATTCTAAGAATTTATGGCTGACAAGTTTGTTTTGGGCATTCTTGAACAGCAGCTCGAAAACAACTCAAAACGAATTGCATTCAATAACAATATGTTCTGCCTCTTTCTTGCTTACAGGTGATATGGAATCCTGCGCCAATGAAGGCGAAGAGGTGCAAATCAAAGGCATACAAAACTCCAAATGCTTTAAATGCACATGCCAGGTGAGTCCACAAGGAGATCTTGCTACCAACTAAGTAATTTCCTGCTCAATCTAATTTTGAGAGATTTTCCTTGCTGCTGCTCAGCAGGCAGGCGGCTCCAAAGGGCTGCGCCAGCCAAAACTGGACATCCTTTGACCCGAATAGAACTTAGACCGAGCAATCTATGAAATAAAATACAAATACTAAATAAATCTTATGCGGAGCCTGTCGCTGACGCTGTCTGGTGCGCTGCATGAGCGACGCCAGTGTCCAGCCAGGACATGTGCGGAACGGATGCAATGTGGATGTGGCCATGTGTCGCACATTTCGCAACGCCTGCCAGACGCCGGCCCCGGCAAAAAGTAGTCGTAATCCCCAAACCCCCAAAAAAAAATATTTCAAATATTTACATTCGACAGACAGCAAATTGCGGCAGCAAACAAAAATTGCAATGCCAAAAGAATGTTCCGAGAGGCAGGCCGCAGGACAGACAGGACATCTGTGCACATAAATAAGAACATACTTCTTTGCAAATGTTGAAGATAACTGTGCGTATGCGTAATTTGTCTAGCTATGGTATTTAACATTTGAAAACCCAAAACTAGTTTGACTCTGGCACATTATGGAAAATTTTCGAACCGAAAAGAAACGGCAAGCACACATCAGACGATTTTTATAGGGATTATAACGAAATAGTTTTGTTAAAAGAAAGTAAACCGAAATAGTTTGGTAAAAGAAAGGAAAAATTCTTTAAACGAAAGTTTTTTCAACAAGAAAAGTAAAGTTTTAAGTAAATAATAATCCAAGGTATATAATTAATGATCAATTACAATAGAGAAGTCAGCAAAACAAGAACGAGTCGTTACAGTCGATTTTCAAATTATGTGTGTAATTCCCAAGCAGTTAAAGCGCTCAGTTTATTATAGCACACTTGACATGTCAAACGCTAATAAATAGCGCTAATGAGGGTTGCCAGACTACTTTAAAATATAAGCAAAGCAACGTTAATTATGTATTTGTTTGCACTTGCTGGGCATAAAATGTTTGCTGCTTTCTTGGCTTTGGTTTGCATTTGTTTGGCTTTGCTTTTGTTTTGTTGCTTTGTTGTTTACAAAGCACAGGCCGCATCTTGGAGTTCGCCTGAAATTGTTATGATGCAAGGTCGTCAAACGGGTTTGCAGCGACATGACAAACGTTAACCACAGGTTAGCCGATCGTTTGACAAACACTTGGCGCCGTGTTTTTTGTCGCCGTCAACGGCTACCGCTACCGCGACGGGGGCTAACGCAAAGCTCTGCCCGCGAAGACGTCGTGTCGTGTCGTCATTAAGCGGCGACAGCAGCCGCCGCCGCAGCAGCTGCGGCAGCGGCAGCGGCAGCGCGTGCTGTCGTCACTGGCGTTGCCAGATCGCGGCTGCATGCCCGCTGCTAATTTGTGCTAAGCGCTGCTAAACGTCGCTGCTCCAATTTGAGCGTCAAGAAGCTTTCGCGACGCCGACTGCGACGCGATCGATCGATTGTTATATAGCCTCAAGTCATGAGCTGATGCTGCGACTGCTGCCGTTATTGTTGTTGCTGTTGCTGTTCGTCAAGTGGGCGTAACCAAAAAAAAAAAAAAATTTAAAAAGAAAAAAGGAGAAAAAATAAATGTTGGCGCCACCTCACTTTAAGCTGATGGCGCCATGCGTTGCGCCTGCTCTAACTGAGCTACCTGTCCCGCTTGCCTACTGCCGCGCTCTGCACTCTCTCTCCCACTCTCTCTCTCTCCATCTCTGTCTGTTTCGCACTCTGCGACTGCGCGCGCCTTTAAAGTTTATAATGGCATCAATTGAACGCATTTGCTTTATTTTGTTGCCTGCTCTTTAGGCACAGCTCTTAAAGCACTCTTAAAGCTGTGTGAAAGCTGGGCCATGAATTGCCCTGCAAATGCTTTGCTATAATTCGGTTAGACCATAAAGCACACACTTTATGATTACTTCTATTCATGCTCCAGCTCTTGTGTGTACACATTCATATTCACAGCTCGCACTCGCTTTTCAGTCCCATTGTAAGTAATATTTGCAAACGCGTTTGGTGATTCGCTGATATTTTATGGCTGACGTTTATTATCTTAAATCTCTTAATATATATCGCATATTAAGTACAGTGTGTTCTTTCCATCCCCGGGCAAGGACAATCAAACAAATTGTCTGCCCGCTGTCTGCTTTTCATCTGCTTTCGGGGTGTGTTTTTTTTTTTTTTTTTACCCAACTGAATTTGTTAACAAATTTGGTTTTTATGTGAAAATTATGCTGAACACACGCATTGCTTTCCGAATAGCCTTTGATTTAGGCATATTTTGTGTTCTTCTTTTTTATTAAATTTTTTATTTTATTATTTGTTTTTTTCTTTTCTATTTTTGGCTTGTCTAAGCATTCTGCCAGTTGATTGAGCAGGCGATTTTTTACGATTGATATTTGCAAATTCCATTTTTTTTCTTTGTTGAAAGCATTCAAAAGACTGGGCTCAAAAGTTGTAGGTGGTCCGTATAAATAGCTTGTTTGGTATGAAACAATTCTTTATGATTATTTTATTAACGTGATGACTCAGTTAGAGCAGTTAAAAGGACGCAAAAAGTATATTAATATTTATTATTTGCTACGTTCAGCGCATTAAGGAAGTAGTTAAATGTTTATGTTCTTGTGAAACCGCTTTAGAACAGTAAAGGTATTCGGGAAGAATGAATAAATTAAATAATAAATATTCTATAAATATTTAGCACTCCTGCAAATACACACAATGTATATAAAAGAAACCCTACCCAGACCCAGATGCAAACATCTGTTTTCCACACCGATAAATTATTTTAAAACTGCTTTTTAAAAAGCACAGTTAAAAACTACTTAATAACTTAATTGGTTTAGTTTAAAAATAGAAAACAACTTAATAGCTCTACATACAGGATATCCCACATTGCTTTAGGAATTTCAACAACTGTTAATCCAAATGAAATTCCAGCCACAGTTGCAGCCAGCCAAAAGCCAACTAGCCAACAGGCGATTTCAACTAGCCCACAAGTGACAAAATACACATATGAACATAAAAAAAATATATGTATATATATAAAAAGCACAGTTTGTCATTACCATATTCTATGAGGCGCAGCAGCGAGCCAAGTTAACAGAGTCTAGAGTGTCTACAGGCCGAGTCTTTGGCTAGAGCATAGTCTTGGCCAAGTTTGGCTAGCAAACGTTTAGTTGCTCAACAGGCCAACAAGAGCAAGCGACTAGCGAGCGGTTTGAGTGTCTCACTTGGATGCGAACGTTGATGTGTGACGGCGGCGTCGGCGAGGGGCATGCGGGGATGGAGACGTGGCGGCTGCCGAATGGACGGTGTTAAAACTGATCATGTTTTGTCAAACGCAAGGTCGTTGGAGGCCGTTTGCAAATGTGGTTCTGCCACTGTGGCACACATAGATACACACACACACACACACACACACACACACACACACACACACACACACACACACACGCACATGTGCTTTGGCATTCGTGATTGCCGCTGGCAAACAACAACAACAACAACAAAATCTCAGCCTCTACTTAGCAGCTTGTCCGTTGCCGGGTCCGGGACGGTTGGCTGCCTTCGTGGCGCCTTTTCTTTTTTTTTTTGTGTTTTTTTTTTTAATAGCAACCTTTGCAAGCAGCTACTAGACAACATTAAACTAACAACAACAACAACTACGACGTCGACGACGACTCCGGCGATGCTTAACTTTCATGTTGTCTGAAATATTTCTATACCGGTTCCAGATTAGAAAGAAAGAATTTCAAAGCATAAAACAGCATCTGAAAATGCGTAGAGAGCATCGTCGTCTTCACAGACATTTCAATCTCTCTATTTTTCAAGAGCATTTGTACTTTGTCTGCCTGCCCCTTAACTTACTCTAACGTTTTCATTTCCAGCCGCTGTCAACATTTTGGATTTGTTGTCCCTCTGTTGTTGTTGTTGTTGCTTTATAATGCCGAAGTGCTTTTCAATCTGTCAGTGTTTATTGCATTATGGCACTGAGAGTTACGATGCCCGCACTAAAGGTGCCATTAAAATTCCAACTAACAACTGCCATTAAACTAATACGATGATAAAAATCTCGGAACCGCAAAAAAAAAAAATTAAAAAAAAAAAAAATACCTCTCGACTCTCAACTCTCGACTCGACGCCGCTCGACACAATTTTCATAACAATTGCAAATTTTGCACGTTGCGACGTTGCGGCCCCATCCAAATTGAGATCCAATCTGGTTTGCTTGCACTAAATTATACACACAAGCACACACAACAAACACACATCATACACACACCACACACACACACACACATTTGAGCGGCGACATTGTTCAGCCGCAACTGCATACAAATTAGTAAAATATTTTGCCTGTTTTTGGTACGACATCTATCTAGATTTATAGATACATTTACAATTAGCCCCAGCCTCAGAGCAGACACTAGCACTAGACTCCGTCTCCGGCTCCGTCTCTGTCTCAGGTCTAGAGTTGAGCTGAAAATGCTTAACCTGTCACTGGCATCAAATGCACACAAGGGTTAAAGCCGCCCATTGATTTGAGCCAGTTGGCTTGCTCGCTAGCCATGGCTGAGTGTTGCATAAGCTGCCAGAGCCTTGCCACAAGCTTTTTGACTTATGATCGACATCAATTCTAATGCACCGCTTGCCGCTGTCAACATTGTCGTTAACAAAAAACTGTGCAAAATTGTGCAAAATATGCGAGCACGAGGCAAAAAGTCGCACATAAAAAACAACAACAACAACAACAACAACCGGCCGTAGTCTAGGCCAATTGGACAGGTAAAGCCGCTAGCTGCCCGTTTGCCAATCAATGCAATCCTTTTTTTCTATTCAACTTGGACTTGTCTAAATGCTACTATGAATGTTAATAGCTTAAATAAGTTTAATGATTAACCAAACTTGGTTTAAGCCGTAAACTGCGTCCTATCATTTCGAGGCATTATCAACTATTTGCAGTCTTCGCACAATCCATCATTTAAGCCTTGATGTCTGTCCAGTCTAAACACCCAGAATTGGATAATTTCTGAGGCGCTCCTGTTCTTTTTATCAAGTCCTTCATTTGCATCCTTTCTGTGATACTCAACTTCTTCTACATATTCATATTTTATATTAATTTCAAAAACAAAGTAGCGGTTCTTTCATGCTGAACATGGGTTTTAACACTTTGATGTTATCCCTTCATGTTTTGTATGTTTTTTTTTGTACCTTAAGGTATTTCCTCACTAGTCCTACTCTTTTCCAACCTCTCCATATACATACATCAGCATCTCCATTCAACATGCCCATCCCAAAAAAACTTCACTTGTAGCGCATCTAAGCTGTCGGCTATGGCCCGGTCTGAGCTGTTAACCACGCCCTAAAATGTGCACTCAATTCCATATAATTTTGACTCGTTCGCATTCATAAATTATAAAAGACTGCTGAAGGTCAGAGTGCAAGCTGCCTGAACAAATGCAATTTATGTGAGCGACAAAGCGAGTCAACAAAAGCTACGCCAACTGCAGGTGCAGCCACCGCGCGGGAGGGCACGGGAAAGAGCAGAAGGGTAAACAAATCCGCTGAGCACTTGACAGCAAGCTCTCACATGGCTAAGCGCATAGGCCACATGAGACTAGGGGGGGCTAACGTGGGCTTCGAGCTTCGTCTAATTTATGTGGCTAACAAAAATGATGTGTTTGCGTTTTGCAGAATGGCTTTGTGAAATGTGACAAGAGCTGCCCGTCAATTGATGATTGCTTTCTGATCGACTCCAATTCGAATGACACCTGCTGTCGCAAGTGCAAAGGTAAGTGGAACGCATTTTTTCACACTTCATTTAAACTGGAACTAACTATTGGCCATTAAATAGGCTGCATGTATCGCGGTGTGCCCTATGCGAGCGGCGCTGAGTGGAACGATCCGGATGAACCCTGCAAGACGTACAAGTGCATCGCCAGTGTTGTCACCGAAACAACACAGATTTGTTATTCACAGTGCGACGATAACCAGCTGACAGCGCCACGCCCCGGCGAATGCTGTCCCACATGTCAGGGTAAGTAGCTGGCCCCCAACTGTCTGTCAACAGGTTCAGTCCATTCAACCAGTTCATTTGGCATCAGTCACTAAAATTAGCCAAAAACTAACTAATAGTGCCTCTTAATTCGTCAGATCGTCTGACAAAATAGTCCAAAAAATTCGATCTGTGCACAGATGGTCAACGTTTTTTTCCCCCTTTTTTTGTATCTATTTTGTGACTATGCACGATTTGCTTATTTATGGGCTTTAAATTGTCTATTAAGTCGACAATGTCGCATTGCGTTCAGAAAAAAAAAACAGCAGCAAACTAGCAGAAATACTTGTGGTCGAATTGTAGATACCCTGCAATAAATAGTTTTCTCAACAAATTTCCTTACATATCGAAATTCTATGAAAATCGTTAAGAATGTTCTGAACGATATACAGAAATATTGTGAGAAACTTAGACATGCCCTAGAGAAATTATTCTTAAATAAGATATAATATCTTATACTACACTTTGACTGAGAGGTATGTCAAAAATCCAAGCTATGATATTGAAAGGATCATTATTTTACATACAAGAAGGGCGTCTAGAATTAGGTGCTCCGAACTTTTATAGACTCTGGGGTGCATGGACTTAGACAGACAAAATAATATACATTTTTGGCATGAATTGTCACAATATTATGATACCCTGTCAAACCGACTTTTATGCGTGTAGGGTATATTTGGTACGCACGGCCCTCTGCCTATGCAAATAGATCGCTTGGAAACCCGTTTAGACATGTGGAAATTTTCTTGGCTCTCGCCCAATAACAAACACACAAAAAAAGAAAGAAAACAAAAAGAAGCAGAAGAAATCATACGCTTTTTAAACCGTTGTCTGATGAAAATTGTGTTGTTATTGCTTTTGTTGTTGCACACTTTGCAGGTTGCAAGATCAATGGCCAGACCGTTGCCGAAGGCCAAGAGGTTGTCGCCTCGATCGACGATCGCTGCTTGGTCTGCCAATGCAGCAGCGGCAACAAGCTGAGCTGCGCCAAGAAGACTTGCCCCACACTGCAGTGCCCCAAATCGAAGCAGAAGCAGCTGCCCAACGAATGCTGTCCACGCTGCACGGTGCAGCGCGAGTTTCGCGCGGTCAAAGGTGAGTCGAAGCAGAGCCTAGAATTTGGTGATGTTAGCTTTTGCTCACGAATACGCTCTCTTCAAATTCGCCAGGCAAGTGCATATTCAACAACAATCTGTACTATGACAAGACACAATTTACGCCGGATCGCTGCACCAATTGCACCTGCCTGAACGGCACCTCGATTTGCCAGCGCGCCACTTGCCCCATACTGGAGTGTGCGCCCGAGTTTCAGGAGGACGATGGCTGTTGTCCCCGCTGCATTGTGGCCGAGGTGCGCAGCGAGTGCTCCCATCAGGGTGTGACGTACATGAACAACGAGACCTGGAACATGGATCCCTGCCGCAGCTGTCGCTGCATTGCCGGCAACATACGCTGCTCCGAGATGCGCTGCCAGCCGGTCAAGTGTCGACCCAACGAGGAGCTGAAGCGTCCGCCCGGCGAATGCTGTCCCAAGTGCCTGGAAACTGCCGGCACTTGTACAGTGTTCGGTGATCCTCACTTCAAGACCTTCGATGGCAAATTCTTCAGCTTCCAAGTAAGTTCTACTTTCACAACAACAATAATTATTGTATTGCGATAGTTAGCGTAACCCGAATCGACATTTATGGGCATATATAAATAATCCATTTGATTTCAATTGATATATAATTGCAATGCTCGTCGTGCTTATAAAACTAACGTATAAATTACTCGTTTAACACAGACTTTTATATGGCCATTTGATTTGCATAGCCAACTTAAGTTTATGGCCCATTCACATTAGCTGAATTTGCTGCCTCCGATATCGACAGCTGCAGTCAACTTGACCACCCGCTAAGTGCAAACATTCTGACTTTTATGCCTGATAAAGACTAAAGCCCTGATAGAGTGAAGCTTTGTAGAAGCATTACAGCTTCTTGAACTAGAAAAAAAGTCCTAGCAATTCAAATTCTGAGAGCCAGGAAATGTAGCACTAATAAACCTCGGATTTAATCATGTTTCTCAAAGATCTAAAAGAAAATTCAATTGTTTCTTAAAACAAACGGACGTGCTATAATTGATAAATAATAGAAAATAACCTTCCACAAGTCGCATAAAGTTAATTTATAATCCATGAAAGCCATGACTGAATGGAAGTACGAATACACGAGGACGTGCAAAACGAATCTCGTCTAGTATTTTCTTGTGTAGTGGACGAGGTACCAGTCTATGCTACGACTTCTATATCACGAGTGTCAGTTGATCTTTCCAGTTCGAAAGAAACTTGCTTTAAATCATAGTAAAACATAAGCTATAACTTTGGTACCCGACACATTTTCTCAAGTATCCCATTGCTTTGTCAAATTTCAGGGCAGTTGCAAGTATTTGCTGGCTGCTGATTGCTATGGCCACAACTTCTCCATACGCCTCACCAACGATGGGCGTGGCACGCGGCACTCATCCTGGCCAAAGACGGTCACACTTAAGCTGCGCGGGCTGCGCATCAATCTCGGCCAGAAGCTGCGAGTTAAAATCAATGGTACACGTGTAATGCTGCCCTACGCGGACCACAGCGGCAACAGCAATGGACATGGTCATAATGTGAGTATTGAGCGTCTGGCGGAGGGCGGCATCATGCTAAGGACGGAGCTGGGGCTGAGCATCGAGTGGGATGGCAACAACTTTCTGCAGGTGTCGGTGCCGGCGCAGTACAAGGGTCATTTGTGCGGACTGTGCGGCAATTACAATGGCAGCGGACGGGATGATCTGACGGGCAGGGATGGCCGGGCGCATGGCGACAACGAGGTGTGGCACTTTGCCAACTCGTGGAAGGTGGGCGGACCCAAGTCGTGCTCGCGAGTGAGGGAGAATGTTGTGGCGCCGCCGACGTGCAACAAGCGTAAGCCCAACTTCTACTGCCGGCCTCTGCGCGTCTCGGAAGTATTTGGAAACTGTGATAGTAGACTTAATCCCAACAACTACATCGCCTCCTGCCGCATGGACGTCTGCGAGTGCCCCACGGGCAGCTGTCACTGCGACAGCTTTGCGGCGTATGCCCACGAGTGCCGTCGCCTTGGCGTTCAGCTGCCCGATTGGCGTGCCGCCACCAATTGCCCAACAACCAGCTGGCGTCGCAATGCCACCGAACTGAGCTATGTGGGCAACAGTTTGTACGGGGATCCTAGTTATCTCAAAGGAGGCGGTGGCGGCACATCTAAGGCGCGACGCCGCAAGCAGCATCAGCATCAGCTGCAATTGCAGCGACGCCAGCAGAACGAGCTGCAGGAAAATGAATACATCAAAAAACATGTACCGAATAAATTTTTAAGGCCGCGTGCGCCGGATCGCACGCCGCCGCCAATACACTAAGCACTGAGCATGGATTTAATTATAATTTAGTTGCTACTCATACACACGCACCTATATACACACACACACACACACACACTCTCTCTCATACAGGCTAATGCAAATGCATTGCTTACTTTAAGGACCAATGACACGGGCTGAACTTATGCGCATTGCATTGCATTTAATCTAAATAGTAAAAGCTTTGCATCTAAGAGCTTTAACAGCTATTGAAAGCTTTAAGCTAGCTTTGAGTGTTTGTTAGAAAATCTTCAAGCTCGCTGAACGCTTTTTCTTAACCCCAAACAAAATGTGTCTTCAGTTACAGGATTAATTTCAACTGGTGTCATTGGTCCTTAGGGTAGGCATAGTAAAAAAAAAGAAAAAAGTTCCAGATACGAAATTTGATTGTATGTACTTGTAGTTTAATTGCGCATTCGCACCCATGACAGCACCAGTATTAAGCTAAGCATTATCCTCCCAGATCGTACATCGTCAAATATTAGCGAACCATCTCATGCTTGCCTTTATCCATACATTCACCAACTGCATTCGTTGTCGCCATTTTGTTTAGTTCGTTAAGCCCTATTTATTTTAGTAGCTAAGTTATAAAGAAATTTTTAGTGCCCCGGCCTAAGTACTACTCGAAAGTATGTTGTGTATCTGTTTAATTTTTAAATGTATTTGTATGTGTGTATTATCGGTTAAATAAAATTATATGTACTACTCGATAACGATAACAGCATATTTATATAGAATATTTACTACTATCCGTAATTTTAGTAAAATAAATTTTAGTTTTGCTTAAAATTTAAGCTTTAAACATTTATGAAAATTGCACAAACAGTATTTTTGCTTAGTTTAAATCCCACTATAATACTGCAAATCAGCTACAGAAGGAACAAAATGGGCTATTATCCCGAAACTAAACCCTAACTATCTTTCTCTAACCTTTTAATATCTCTATTCTCTCTCTCTCTCTCTCTTTCTCAATATCTTACTAACTCGAACCTTACACTTTATAAAATTCCGTTTATGTCAATAAGAATACTTGGAATCCACATTTTTTGTATGTCCAATAAAACGAAAATCAAGTAAAATAAACTGTGTTAATATTTATAACGTTCTTTCCAAGTTACACTTAACAACAAATATTACAAAAAACAAAATATATATGCCATTTTCCAATATTTATAATAAATGTATCAAGTTTAATTAATGTAATATGGCTGGATCTGTAAATGTCTGACAAAAATATGCTTAAAATACAAAAAAAAAAAAAAACTCAAAATACAAATGCAAGAAACAAAATAAAAACCTGAAAATTTTAAATGCTGCATTTTTAATGCTAACAAAAATGTCATATCGTGTGTAAAATTGATTTACCAACAATGGTAGGGGTTGCCTTCTATTCTGTAGAACTTGGCAACACTAACAAATGCGATTTGTCGTTTTTATAGTGAAGAGTTCCCTAAAATATTTTATGTAGACATTGGTCAAAATTTCCCACCCGCATAGCTCGGTAAAATCTCATCTGTTTTTCACAAAGGTTGGGACTTTTTACATTATTTGGCATCCGGATCAATTTGACATTTAAATCTGGCAACATTATTTTAGGCCGAAATTCATGTGAAAATTATGCCCTCAAATATCCTATATAAACATAGGTCTAAATTTCACACCCCCATAACTCGGTCAAATCTTATCAGATTTGTACGTGGTTTAGCTCTTTCTTCGCGGCTTGGCTTTAAGATTCATTTGGCATCTTAGACTGGCAACATTATTCCTGGTCAATTTTCTTGTGAAAATGGTATCCTCAAATATTTGTGTAATTTGATTCAAGCTCTACATAAAAACATAATGAATACGTTTTACAGCGATTTGGAAAAAAAAAAACAGTTTAAAATTGTTAACGTCCGATCGGTTTTATAATTTATTTGTTACGTACCACGAGGACTAAGGGCGGGGTATACCCGCTAGTATGATAACATATATCGAACAAGATGAGAAGTTCAAGTCGAGTATTCAACTTGGAAAAGTTCCAACTTAAAAGCAATTTTTTATATCGCATTGATATGAGAACTGAGTAGCTTACTATATATATTTTTTTTCGTTTGTACTCTAAAGCTTAATTTGAACCAGACTCTATTTGAGATCATGGTTGAGAGCACAGAAACGCATTTAAGAGGATCGCACACTTCGATAGAACCGCGCCCGGGTAGCCTTTTCGGATTGCAGAATAATGTTTATGATGTTGTGGCTTGTGTATGCTGTTACTTGTTTTTTTGTTGTTTCAAGTGGCATCAGATTTGCAGGCACGAACCCAAAAACAATTGCGACAAGAGACGACGACGACGACGACGACGCTGCGTCTAGGGTGGCTGCCGCTGGGGCTGCAGACGGAAGTGGAAGGAAGTGGTTCGAGAGTTGGTGCTATGAGCTCTGCTGTTGGACTGGGCGTTGAATTACACACATACACACACACATTCTCACACAGTCGCAATCAATTTATGCATGTTTGCTTTGCAATACTTGTCAAAGTTGTCTAGGGCTGTGCACAACTTTGTGTGTAATTTGAACAGGGCAATCATTTGCCTCCGCCTCGGGGCTTGGACATATGGTCATTTCTTGGAAGGCGCAGGCACTACTTAAACACAATAAGCTCGTAAATCGACGTCGATTTAGACTGAAATACAATCTTGTGCGAGTCTGAAATAGCAGGCGCTCCATTGACTAAAGCCACCAACACGCAGTCGCAGTCGCTGCGGCTGTGGCAGTTGCTGTTGCTGCCGCGTTGGGGCACGTGCAGCGCATGCGCAACGAGGCAAGCTGAGCAGCTGGACAATTGGACAAAACTCGTGATTGATGCACGTCGTCTTCAACAGAATCGAGTTTAATGTTTCGACATCTGCCACTGCCTGGCCACCGACTGTGTGTGTACGAGTCGGACTTTTGTGTGTGCTTCCGCGTGTTGGTCGCCTGGAGAGACGACGCCGCGAGCGATTGCCAGCGGCGACGCGTGCTCGTGCCTTATCAGGCGCTAACCTGTCCATATTGGCGCAAATGCCGTTTGCCAATATGGTGCGTATATAATTGGAGCGTGTGTCTGCCGATGTCCGTCTGTCAGGCGGTCTGTCTTGCGGTCTGTCTGTGTGGTGTGGCGCCAGAACGTACGCCAAATTTGGCAATGTGAAATGTTGCTGCTGTCCAGTCGAATGGCATATTCCCCATTGCCCACATGCCGCATACCACATACCGCATGCCACATGCCCCATAGGCATTAGAACGTCGCCAGCCACTTAAAATCAGCGATTTATCATGAGGCAATGTTTGCCCTGCACAAATGAACGGGGCGACAAGTCGATGAGAGATATCCAAAACCACATCCAATGCCCAGTGCCCAATGCCAAGTGGCCCTTCAATAATGCAAAAAGAGACTCATAAAGATGCGCGGCGATAAGCCGCGGCACAAGCATATGGACAATCGCCATGCATCATCATTGTGGCGGCACAGAGTCCTGAACCCTTGAAACTCTCGCAGACACTCGAATATCTATCCAATGTCTTTGAGTGTGCATAAGCGAGTGGCAAAACGCATGAATCACTTTTGGCCGGGGGCACATTCTCTGTGCGTAGGAGTCCGTGGCCGCCATTAGCGGCATATGTCAGCAGCCGCCCACGTAAGCGGTCCCCAAGGGCTGCACTTTGCGGGTGGCTTTTCCCACGCAAAAGCCCAACCGGAAAAGCTAACAGAAATCTAACTATGCGTTCTCGATGACAGATGCGAGCCCCGCCGCAAACCCAACCGCTTGTTATTTATGTCAATGACTCGGCTTTTGCGTCACAATCACATGTGTGTGCTTAGCTGTGTGTGTCTGTGTCTGCGAGAGTGTTTCAAGCAGATGCGGCCATCAATTGTTGAAATAAATTAAAGCATACTCTTCGGCGGTGACCTAAATGCCTGAACAACGGGGTGGCAATTTCCATTATCACGCATGCCCCATTTACACCAAATTGCAGCAAATACAACTTGGCGAATAATAAATTTTGACATATTTTAAGTCAATAAATGTTAAAGACTAAGAAGGATTAGTATTTACCCATCGTGTAAACTAATCTTTTGATATTTGCAATTATTAAAATGTATACACTTATCAATTTGCCTTGAATCTAATGTCAAATTCATGTTTATCGTGCCTACTCCTTAATCCCTTAGAATCCTTTCCCTCAAAGGCGGCATTTTGGCGGCATTTTGGGAGCACTTGAATTTTCTTCTCAAAATTTCGTCCCCTTACCAGATTTTCTAAGTTTTCTATATAGTGCTTATTGCCGTTTTCTACACACAAAAAAATGATTTACTAACCTTACTTAGAACTCGGGTCCACGAATTTCGTAGAGAACTGCAGTCTTACGAATTGAAATCAAAAGATAAAACCTCTATTCATTTAATATTGAACTGGCAATTTGTACAGTCTAGGCAGGCCTTGAATTTCATCATTTTAAATTTTGTGCTGCATTGTGTAGCTGCATTCAAAGCAACTTAATTTACAATCTTTATCCATGGTAGAACTCAGCAGGGCCTTTATGGAAGTATTACTACACAAGCACATGCATCACGCGGAACGTGCGGCATGTCCTCGTGTAATAATACTTCCTTTTAGTCCCTGTTGAGTCCTGCACATTGATAGTACGTCAACAAACTTTACTTACACATGCTGTGATTCTAAGTTCCTCGGACTAATTAACAACGCAAAACAAGGTGAGCACACATCAATTTAATAATCTGTTTGGGTATACAAATTTCTCTCTTTAAATAGACCACATTCTTTGAATATATTCAAACACAATCTGTAGCCTGGATTCTTAATTAAGTTGAGAATCAGATTCAAGTCTAGATTGTAGCGTAACTATTTAGGAACTCATTTCATAAGTCTTTTTAGGTACATTGGCATTTAGAGTTTACAATGTTGGTTATATATATGAATATATCCCGAATCACCCTACATATATTTGAAAGTCCATTAAACTTCACAAGTCGAGGCTATATAAATTTGATGAGCTGTTCAATACGTTGCCTTGTGACATTGTAAGCTATTTAAAATATAAATATAATTAAATATACACGAGCTGGAATACAATATTGTTTATAGCCCCGCAGAAAAACAGCAAACAGCGTGTGAAAGTGAATATACGATTACACATTGAATGAATGATCAAATGAATGAATGAATATGAGTGCTTAATATTAATGATCATTTTTCTGCGATGTTTCATTCTTGCTTCGATTGATTCTAACCAATTTAATGTGCAATCAAGTATTCAACGTTGACTCCCATGCCCATGGGGTGTGTGTGTCTATCAAAACTTTTTCGCTTTTGGGGATTTTCTAGTTAATTTAATAGCTTAAAAGCTTATCTGGGCATGGACAATATCGCAGACATTTGCATAATTAGCAAAGAGAGAGAATGCAGGATGTGCGGCTAAAATATGTATAGACACTTATTAGTTAGTCTGCTGAAAGTCAAACCGATTCAACAGACACGCAGGCGTCAGTTTCATATGTTTTTGATACCCTTACAGAGAGAGTACCATAAATTTGTCATTCAATCTGTGCCTGTTTGTTTAATCGTATCTGTGAAGCCGCTGTGTTTAAATTTATATGAAGAATAATCAAAAATTCTGTTTCAAACTGATCCAAGCTATTAAATTCTATTTCAATAATTGTAGATTTAGATTTTATATTTATCTGATAGTCTTTATTAGAGCCTGCAATGGAATATTGTATATATAAACTTGTTTTCATTAGTTATGTTTATTAGCCAACATTTTTTGTAGAATAATTCAATAAAAGTCATTTCTTTTGGCTTTTCAAATGTCAGTTATAAATATTTGAAAAACATGTATTATAAATAAAAGTAAGCAATATTGAATTCAAGCTTTACCTGCTTTTTTCAACTATGTTTTATATGTCAGCAAATTGATTTTTGTTGTTTCAATCTTGAGATACTTATTAACTTGTGGACTGTTAAATAAAAAACGATCAGAAAGTTACTTTTACCTTTTTACTTTATTAATAGAACTGTTTAACTCTTTTATAGAGCTGCACTCTCGCTCATAAAAAAGCTATGCAAGTGTATTTGAACTTCAGCAGTCCGTTGTTAGTTTTATTTTGTGTTATTTTGTTTTTGCCACTCGACTCAAACAAGTTGCCACACAATGAGACATTTCGGCACATGGCAATTTTTGTCAATATATATATTATTATTAATTATATAAATTAGCTTGTTTTGTGCTTTTTTTCCCCCTTTTCTTGCCAGCGGGCGTATGGGCGGACAGACAATTCAATTCAAATCATTTAAAATGCGACGCAAGGCAAAGGCGAAGACAAGCTAAAGATACACAAATTATTGTGCACAGACGATCATCGCACTCATCATCATCATCATCATCATCAGTTTCATTATCATCAGTAAAGTGTAATTAAAGGCAATTATGCACATGTCGCCCTGTCTCGCCCGATGCTAAATTATGACGGAAGTTGTGAGCTTACAATCAATGCCCGAGGCATTAATTGCGATTATCTAATGCTCAGTTAATGTACAATGCGCATATGCATATTGATTAATATAAATATTATTAATGTTTACTGCGGCGCCTTAGATAACAATTTAAATCAATGCAACAGATGTCTTAACACGTTAGGTATACGGCATAAGAACTTATTGGGAATAATATGCAAAATTGCGAGCTGAGAGAAAATCAATCAATCATAAATTAATAGAAAATCAAGAGATGTTTAATAGGCCGGGGGCTCCTTTTGAATCTTAAGAAAACACTTAAACAAAAAAAGGCGACAGCGCAGAAATCGGCCAATAACTCCGATTTACACACATAATTTCAAGTTAAATACCATTGAAATAATTCTCTACAGCAAAACTATATTGAATAATCGTTTAATTTGGTTAATAAATACATAAGAACATACGAAAATTGATTGTATTATTTCAAAAATTATTAAAATGTGTTCAATTAGCAGTTAATTGAATTAGTTAAATGATTTGCACTAGTAAATCCATGCGACTGTCACTAAATCAAACGCAAACTTTGATTAGCCGCTTGGCCCGATTCGCGAATGATTATCGCCGTTTGCAATTAGCATATTTTGGCCACTAAGTTTAGTCTAATGAATTGACACTAATATGTTGAATATTGTTGCCATAAAAAATCGAAATCAAAAACTTGCTGCTACCCATGTCGACTAATCATTCATTGCTAACAATAAATATTTTATTTAACTGACGCCCACAAATTAGGCAATGCGACAGTCGACGCAAAGTTCCCATATGCATAAAGCCATAGATCTCGACAGATTACCATTGATCTTTTATGGGTGCATAAATTGAAACGTGCTCGTTTTATAGTCAACAGAAACAAAAAGAAAATAAATACAAAAATAAAGGCTTAGCTCGTGGCTATCAAATAACGTTCAATGGACTTATCCTCTGATATTTCGATCGTATAAAGACAATTTGTATAAATGTTTAACAAAATTCTAGCCGAATTTGTATGCTCTGTCGGCAAGAATTGAATTGAAGCGTGGATTGAAGCCTAAGATGACGCTGACGGGAGTGAAGCTTGCTTAATTCTCGAGTTCCCGGTCATTCCCTCAAATTAATATTTATGTTTATTTATTAACATTGTTTTGTATAAACTTGTTCTTGGTCGTTTTATCTTAAACGTGTTAGAAAGGCTTGGTTCGCAGAACGAAATGGCAAGAGAAATAGAAATAGAATAAATACACTCGGAAAAATAAACGAGAAAGTTATGATTTAAACAAGCTATTAAAGCTATTTGTACTTCAAATATTAATTATAGAATGTTTCCAACGGTAACTAAATCAGAAATGGGCTTTTATTGGTTTTCAAATAGAATTTACTTAATTTACTTCTGAAGCAGTTGATTTTCGTTGTATTCGCCTTTTAATTAAAATTCACTAGGTTAGCTTTGGATTTTTAAAGGAAAACTCTTTAAATTGCATTCTTGCAACACTTGCAAGCACTTTCAAGTTTGTTTCATTTCCGATTAAGACCGAGGCCTGTCATGCTTCGAACATCTTTCTCTAAGTGTATTAATACAAATTAATATATAGTATATCTAAGAGTTAAGTTAACTAACTTAGCACACACGTTAAGCTTGGTTGACTGATTCTCATATTCTCGTCTCTGGCTCGGAGTCTGTCTGTCTGGTCAGCGCTACTCATTCGGACAGAAACATTCAATAAAGACGGCCACGCGAATTGGCCAGACGCTCATTGAAAGCGTTAGGTTCAAGCAATTTCTACACCCAAACGGTTCAACAAATCAATTTGAATTAGCTTCAACAGCTATCAATATTAATTTGCAATTTGGCGTCTTACTTTTCATATAAATTCGTGTATTATTTAAATCAAAATTTAAACGCGTTGCGCTCGCAATTTGTGCAAAATGTCAGCATTTATAACCTCAATAATCTGCGTGACTGTACTCCAGTTGTTCCTGCTCCATCTGGCCGCTGGCAAACAGTTCAGCTGGTGTGATCCCGATCTGTGTGGTGCGGGCGTCAAGCACATCGCCTGTCGCAACAACGGCGTAAGCGTCATATTATAAACCCCTTTCTCTATCGGTTATTTGAACTGTCTATTCGTTTGACTGCAGCATTTTCACAGACGCTGCCAGCCCGACTCCTTTGAGGTGGACATCTCTCGGCATAAGGCGTACTTTGTGCACGGTCACAACAAACGCCGCAATTTTGTGGCATTGGGCAAGCTGCCCGGTTATTATCCCGCCGCACGCATGACCACCATGGTGAGCTTGGCTGCGAGGCATTTTCTTGCTCAGATTGATTGATTCCGCAATTACAACTTAGGTCTGGGATGATGAGCTGCAGTATTTATCATCGCTGAATGTGCGCACCTGCATCTTGGATCACGATGATTGTCATAATACGTACAGCTTTGCCAATTCGGGCCAGAATCTGTGCGCCATTTGGCGTGATCGCAATCCCCATGTCAATGTGACCAGCCTCATTGAGGAGTCGTTGGGACTGTGGTTCAACGAGTACGACTTGATCGATAGCAGCTACATTAACCGTTTTCGTGTCACACAATATTTGTAAGTATAATATTCTAGTAATCGAAATATCAATTAAATATATTTCTATTTATTTGGCAATTCCCCTAGCGAGGACTATGGTCATTTTGCGGAAATGGTGGTGGATCGTAACTCACGCATTGGCTGCTCCATACTGCGTTTCACACGTCCCGATTATCCCTATGTCTACATCTATAATGTGGTCTGCAATTATGCGTCCATCTATGCATTGGATGCGCCCGTCTATGAGGTTGGGCGACCCGCGTCCCGCTGTCAGACCGGCAAAAATCCATTCTATCCGGGTTTGTGCTCGACACGAGAGCAATATAATCCGAACTACTGAACGATCCGGTGTAGTGTATAGATATAGTGCTCAGGTATAGAACTGTCAGAAACTTAAAGATCACTGTCGTCTGTATTGTATTTTACATAAGATCGTAGCTTAGTTGTAGTTGTAGTCTTTGTTTACCAATAAATAACACCTCAGAATATTAACCATAAATTTATTGACATAATACACCCACTCGACAACTTTTGGCCCAACATCACAGGGTATGTCATTTTATAATAATAATATTTATAATTAGTAAATGATTTGTTGTAAAACTGCCTGCTAGTTAAATACACTCCAAACTGCCGGTGAGTATTTAAATTTGGTTTTAACGAGCTTAACCAAATAATGCCAAAATTAATAAGTGACGCCTAGCCATGCGAATGCTCGACTAAAATATACTCGAACCGGACTAGAAGTAACTAAATGATCTAAACATCTCGTTCGCAGATAGATACATAAAAAAGAATCGTCGTCATATGTTCGGCAGCCGAATATACCCGGTTCATGTGTAAGTTCGGGTATTAAACAGAAGTTTTGGGTCCAGGTTAGACAGGTTAACATTTGATAGCACAGCACTTTCGTTTGTTGTTCCCAGGCCAACAAAGTGCCGAAAGCTCATAAAACTCTTGTTCAAATATGCAAATATTTGATTCGCTTTTATGCTTTTATCCGGCCTGCAAAACAGCTGCTAATCTGTGGAGTTCGACAAAGAGGAATATAAAAACCCGAATTGGGCAGCCCAAACAATTCAAGCTATTGAGCCATGTCTATATACGAAACTAAGGGGTAAGATTTTGACATGAATTTCGACTAAAATTCACATAGTCAGATTTTAATGCCAGATTTGAGAGGGAAAACTGAGCATAAAAAACCAAATCTCGGGGAAATCGGATGAGATTTGACGGAGTTATGGGGTTGGGAAATATTGAGCCATGTCTATATACGAAACTAAGGGGTACGATTTTGACATGAATTTCGACTTAAATTCACATAGTCAGATTTTAATGCCAGATTTGAGAGGGAAAACTGTGCATAAAAAGCCAAACCTCGTGAAAATCTGATGAGATTTGACCGAGTTATGGGGTTGGGAAATATTGAGCCATGTCTATATACGAAACTAAGGGGGAAGATTTTGACATGAATTTCGACTAAAATTCACAGAGTAAGATTTTAATGCCAGATTATTTAAGAGGGAAAACTGATCATAAAAAAACAAATCTCGGGGAAATCGGATGAGATTTGACCGAGTTATGGGGTTGGGAAATATTGAGCCATGTCTATATACGAAACTAAGGGGTAAGATTTTGACATGAATTTCGACGAAAATTCACATAGTCAGATTTTAATGCCAGATTATTTAAGAGGGAAAACTGAGCATAAAAAACCAAATCTCGGGGAAATCGGATGAGATTTGACGGAGTTATGGGGTTGGAAAATATTGAGCCATGTCTATATACGAAACTAAGGGGTAAGATTTTGACATGAATTTCGACTAAAATTCACATAGTCAGATTTTAATGCCAGATTATTTAAGAGGGGAAACTGAGCATAAAAAACCAAATCTCGGGGAAATCGCATGAGATTTGACGGAGTTATGGGGTTGGGAAATATTGAGCCATGTCTATATACGAAACCAAGGGGTAAGATTTTGACATGAATTTCGACTGAAATTCACATAGTCAGATTTGAATGCCGGATTATTTAAAGGGGAAAACTGAGCGAAAAAAACCAAACCTCGGGGAAATCGGATGAGATTTGACCGAGTTATGGGGTTGGGAAATTCCACTTATGTCTATCTACGAATCTGAGGGGTAAGATTTTGACATGAATTTCGACTTAAATTCACATAGTCAGATTTTAATGCCAGATTATTTAAGAGGGAAAACTGAGCATAAAAAACCAAATCTCGGGGAAATCGGATGAGATTTGACGGAGTTATGGGGTTGGGAAATATTGAGCCATGTCTATATACGAAACTAAGGGGTAAGATTTTGACATGAATTTCGACTTAAATTCACATAGTCAGATTTTAATGCCAGATTATTTAAGAGGGAAAACTGAGCATAAAAAACCAAACCTCGGGGAAATCGGATGAGATTTGACCGAGTTATGGGGTTGGGAAATTCCACTTATGTCTATCTACGAATCTGAGGGGTAAGATTTTGACATGAATTTCGACTGAAATTCACATAGTCAGATTTTAATGCCAGATTATTTAAGAGGGAAAACTGAGCATAAAAAACCAAATCTCGGGGAAATCGGATGAGATTTGACGGAGTTATGGGGTTGGGAAATATTGAGCCATGTCTATATACGAAACTAAGGGGTAAGATTTTGACATGAATTTCGACTTAAATTCATATAGTCAGATTTTAATGCCAGATTATTTAAGAGGGAAAACTGAGCATAAAAAACCAAACCTCGGGGAAATCGGATGAGATTTGACGGAGTTATGGGGTTGGGAAATATTGAGCCATGTCTATATACGAAACTATGGGGTAAGATTTTGACATGAATTTCGACGAAAATTAACATAGTCAGATTTTAATGCCGGATTATTTAAGAGGGGAAACTGAGCATAAAAACCCAAATCTCGGGGAAATCGCATGAGATTTGACGGAGTTATGGGGTTGGGAGATTCCACTTATGTCTATCTACGAATCTGAGGGGTAAGATTTTGACATGAATTTCGACTAAAATTCACATAGTCAGATTTGAATGCCGGATTATTTAAGAGGGAAAACTGAGCGAAAAAAACCAAACCTCGGGAAAATCGGATGAGATTTCACCGAGTTATGGGGTTGGGAAATTCCACTTATGTCTATCTACGAATCTGAGGGGTAAGATTTTGACATGAATTTCGACTTAAATTCACATAGTTAGATTTTAATGCCAGATTATTTAAGAGGTAAAACTGAGCATAAAAAACCAAATCTCGGGGAAATCGGATGAGATTTGACGGAGTTATGGGGTTGGGAAATATTGAGCCATGTCTATATACGAAACTATGGGGTAAGATTTTGACATGAATTTCGACGAAAATTAACATAGTCAGATTTTAATGCCGGATTATTTAAGAGGGGAAACTGAGCATAAAAAACCAAATCTCGGGGAAATCGGATGAGATTTGACCGAGTTATGGGGTTGGGAAATTCCACTTATGTCTATCTACGAATCTGAGGGGTAAGATTTTGACATGAATTTCGACTAAAATTCACATAGTCAGATTTTAATGCCAGATTATTTAAGAGGGAAAACTGAGCATAAAAAACCAAATCTCGGGGAAATCGGATGAGATTTGACGGAGTTATGGGGTTGGGAAATATTGAGCCATGTCTATATACGAAACTATGGGGTAAGATTTTGACATGAATTTCGACGAAAATTAACATAGTCAGATTTTAATGCCGGATTATTTAAGAGGGGAAACTGAGCATAAAAAACCAAATCTCGGGGAAATCGGATGAGATTTGACCGAGTTATGGGGTTGGGAAATTCCACTTATGTCTATCTACGAATCTGAGGGGTAAGATTTTGACATGAATTTCGACTAAAATTCACATAGTCAGATTTTAATGCCAGATTATTTAAGAGGGAAAACTGAGCATAAAAAACCAAATCTCGGGGAAATCGGATGAGATTTGACGGAGTTATGGGGTTGGGAAATATTGAGCCATGTCTATATACGAAACTATGGGGTAAGATTTTGACATGAATTTCGACGAAAATTAACATAGTCAGATTTTAATGCCGGATTATTTAAGAGGGGAAACTGAGCATAAAAAACCAAATCTCGGGGAAATCGCATGAGATTTGACGGAGTTATGGGGTTGGGAAATTCCACTTATGTCTATCTACGAATCTGAGGGGTAAGATTTTGACATGAATTTCGACTAAAATTCACATAGTCAGATTTGAATGCCGGATTATTTAAGAGGGAAAACTGAGCGAAAAAAACCAAACCTCGGGGAAATCGGATGAGATTTGACCGAGTTATGGGGTTGGGAAATTCCACTTATGTCTATCTACGAATCTGAGGGGTAAGATTTTGACATGAATTTCGACTAAAATTCACATAGTCAGATTTTAATGCCAGATTATTTAAGAGGGAAAACTGAGCATAAAAAACCAAATCTCGGGGAAATCGGATGAGATTTGACGGAGTTATGGGGTTGGGAAATATTGAGCCATGTCTATATACGAAACTATGGGGTAAGATTTTGACATGAATTTCGACGAAAATTAACATAGTCAGATTTTAATGCCGGATTATTTAAGAGGGGAAACTGAGCATAAAAAACCAAATCTCGGGGAAATCGCATGAGATTTGACGGAGTTATGGGGTTGGGAAATTCCACTTATGTCTATCTACGAATCTGAGGGGTAAGATTTTGACATGAATTTCGACTAAAATTCACATAGTCAGATTTGAATGCCGGATTATTTAAGAGGGAAAACTGAGCGAAAAAAACCAAACCTCGGGAAAATCGGATGAGATTTCACCGAGTTATGGGGTTGGGAAATTCCACTTATGTCTATCTACGAATCTGAGGGGTAAGATTTTGACATGAATTTCGACTTAAATTCACATAGTCAGATTTTAATGCTAGATTATTTAAGAGTGAAAACTAAGCATAAAAAACCAAATCTCGGGGAAATCGGATGAGATTTGACGGAGTTATGGGGTTGGGAAATATTGAGCCATGTCTATATACGAAACTAAGGGGTAAGATTTTGACATGAATTTCGACTAAAATTCACATAGTCAGATTTTAATGCCAGATTATTTAAGAGGGAAACTGAGCATAAAAAACCAAACCTCGGGGAAATCGGATGAGATTTGACGGAGTTATGGGGTTGGGAAATATTGAGCCATGTCTATATACGAAACTAAGGGGTAAGATTTTGACATGAATTTCGACTAAAATTCACATAGTCAGATTTTAATGCAAGATTATTTAAGAGGGAAAACTGAGCATAAAAAACCAAACCTCGGGGAAATCGGATGAGATTTGACCGAGGTATGGGGTTGGGAAATATTGAGCCATGTCTATATACGAAACTAAGGGGTAAGATTTTGACATGAATTTCGACTGAAATTCACATAGTCAGATTTTAATGCCAGATTATTTAAGAGGGAAAACTGAGCATAAAAAACCAAATCTCGG